CCCCAAAACCCTGGTCTAATTATGAAGGCGCTCTGTGAGTTGAAATGTGCGTCGCTTACAGCAAGAGTGGGACGAGCCCTCCCTTAGGCCACACACCAGTGCCAAGAAGAACAAAACCCAACCTACGAGAGGAAACCCTGGAAGTTTCCAAGCTCAGAGCCATATGTTTGTACAAAGTGGGGCAGGACCGCAAATCTACGATGTCTCCCATGCCTCGTATATTCGAAGACATCAGTTCAATCCACCAGAAAGTCGAAAAAGAACCCTGAACAAAACAGCTGGCTCTAAACCCTCAGCCCCAAAAGCCTTGAAAAGAGACCCGGAGAAGCCGCAAAAGGAAATGAAACAACTCTAAGCCCTAAACCCTAGAACCCTGAACCTAGCCTGTGAGCATTGATCTCAGCCATGGGAGTCATGGAAAACCCTAAACCCAAACCCTAAACCGGCGAAAAGAGGCTTCCTGCACCCAAATGTCCGGAGCAGAGCTCCTTGAGCTCTCGTTGGCCCCTGAAACGCCACTTTGGCAGGCCCCCAGAGGGTTTAGGGTTTAGGGTTTAGCGTGTAGGGTTTAGGGTTTAGGGCTTTAGGGTTTAGGGCTTTAAAGGCTTTAGGGTTTTCCTTTAAAGGGATCTAGAAGGCTTGCTTTACAAGGATCTACAGTGTACTTCAGGGTATTTTCTGGCTTTCCGGGTTTAGGGAAAGGGGTGAGGGTGTCTCTGTATTTTGGGTGTAGGGGCTTAAGGGTTTAGGGTCAGGGTTACTTTGGCCATAAGTAGAGTTCTTGTTGGAGCTCCCTCGAGGTATATTTCATGTACATACATGTATATATATATATATACATACACACAAACACTAGCGTCGTAGGTACATGGACCCTGAGATTTATGGTTCCTTTAAGGCTTCAGGCAGCCGAAATCAAGGCCCGCATGAAAGCTTCGGGGTTGAGGCGCTGGAGAGATGAAGGCTTGTACCGTCCGATAAGGCGGCGGGAACAATTCGTAACAGTATCCTCTGGGAGTCATGGTTTCCGTGCTTTCGAGTTGCTTCGGAAGTTTGGCCGTTCGATATATATATATATATATGGGACGACGCTTGCTTCTCCGAAACAGAAAGCCTGCAATTGTAGGCGGGAATACCTAGAACTGGACTCAGCTAAACCCTGGCCCAGTACCCATGCTTAAGCTTATCATCTCATAATTCTAGCCCTTGTAGGACATCAAATAAGGGCCCAAAAAATTTACCCCATATAAGAAAACCCCATATCGGGTGCCCCTTATGGGTACCCTCGTTTGAGAAGGAAGTCCTGCTTTGGAGGTCTTTGCCTCCGTTGCCGAAGCCATGACGCAGCCGGCGGACAGTCTCCGGCTCATCACGTCGGCGGGGCAGGATGGTAGGGCTTAAAAAAGGGGGTTTAGGGTCTATAGCGGTTTAGGGTTTAGGGGCCTCAAAAAATTACCTATACTGTCGGTTTGGGTTCCTTATGATAGCCAAAGTATAATGGGCCCCAAAATCTTATTCAAGTCATGAAGGAGCCTACATTATGCGTAGGAATAGCGGAGGTTCGCAAGGGTTCTGACTGAGAGAGAGAGAGAGAGGGAGCTGACTCAAACCTGATTCAGAGTGCAAGCTCCTGCTTAAAGGATCTGGCGGCTTGAGTAAACAGGCTTATAAGTAGAGTAACTGTACTTGCAGTTGCTTATGACCACAATGGACACATGCAGGCACTTGTAGCCTTACCTGCAAAGCCCCTTGATCCATCAAGTTTGACACGAAAGGATTTTATTTTTAACCGCCAAAGCCTCGAGTTACCACAACACTTCCGCTGCACAGGCTTCGAAGCTACCCAGGGAGTTTCATCCAATTAAGCAGTCCGACTATTTGGTATGCGGCGTTTGCTTTGCTGAGCTTTATGCTGTTAGTGTTGGGTCCAAAAGTCGAGTTTTGAGCTGATTCAGAAGCCCTAAACCCTAAACCGTTATACTCTTTTCGAATATATGTTTTGGAGACTTCTTGGCTGGAGGGGTTTAACAGTCTGGGGGCTACCGGTCTGAGAAAAATGCTGGTTTTCTGGATTATTGCTATCTGTGTCTACATATCTGTCTCAAGAACTATGCTCAAATCTATACAAACACATCTATATCTGCATCTGTATCTAGATTCTCGATATATCTCTAGATATTCGTCTTTATATCCAGCAGTTTTCCTGAATTTGCATCCGGACAACTTCGGTTGAACGCGCCGGCGGGGGTCTCTGAAGTTTTTGGTGGTTTGGGGCTTTAGGGCGCAGGGGCTTCGGGGGTTTAGGCGATTTAAGGTTTAGGGTTCAGGGGTTTTGGGGTTCAGTGGTTAAGGCGTTTAGGATGTAGGGGTTTAGGCGTTTAGGGGTTTCGGCTTTAGGGTCTTATAGGGGTTGGGGTTCAGTGTGTAGGGCGCGCCAACAAAACGCGCAGGCAAAATCCCTAGGGCCCAAGGCATCGACCCCGAACCCCGCTCGGATTGTCCGCTGACTGCTTGCATAAACCCCGAAACCCATAAACCCCAAAAGCCCTAAACCCCAAAAGCCCCCAAAACCAAAACCCTCGAAGCACCCTAAACCCTCAACCCCAAAAGCCCTAAAAAGCCCAAAACCCTTAGAAGCACCCTAAACCCTCAACCCCAAAAACCCTAAACCCTCAACCCCCAAAACACCAAAAAACCCAACACCCTTAGAAGCACTCTACACCCTCAACCCCAAAAGCCCTAAAAAAACCCAAAACCCTTAGAAGCACTCTAAACCCTCAACCCCAAAAGCCCCCAAAAAAACCCAAACCCTTAGAAGCACCCTAAACCCTCAACCCCAAAAGCCCTAAAAAACCCAAAACCCGTAGAAGCACTCTAAACCCTCAACCCCCAAAGCCCTAAAAAACCCAAAATCCTCCTTCTCTTATTATTGAGGCCGCTTTTTTCGCGAACCCTAATATTGATCCCTTCTTCTACCCATCTCAGGGAACCCTATCGAAGCACTCTAGTACTAGTACTAGTACTAGTACTAGTACTCTCGAAGCACTCTAGGCCAGAGATCCCAACAAAAAGGGGCAGCTGGGTCAGTCCTCTCTCGAGAGCTCAAAGCCCCGGAAGTGAAGTGAAGCCCAAAAACCCAAAACCCAAAGCCCCTAAACCCCTAAACCCTAATCCCTAAACCCTAGACCCTAAACCCTAAACCCTAAACCCTAAACCCTAAACCCTAAACCCCTAAACCCTAAACCCCTAAACCTTAGAAGTAAAGGAGATCTTGAGCACTTCGCAAGAGTCCCTGGAGACGCTTGGCGGGTTTGGGGTTTTAGGGTTGGTGGCTCAGGCCTTAGAAGTTTAGGGTTTAGAGGTTTAAGGTCTGTTTGTAGTTTTAGGGCTTTGGGGGTTTAGGAGTTTATGGAATTGGTTTTGTTTTTAAGGGTTTTGGGTGCAACCCTCAGCACATTCTTTGTCCTCAGACGTTCGGGATGATTGTTCGGGCTCTCAGGGCTGTTCCGGGGCAAAATATAGCGGCCTAAATAATTAGCAGTACTATTTTGGGGGGGGTCCTTATTTTCATTATGGTATACTATACCCCAAAACCCTGTTCTAATTATGAAGGCCTGTATGATGAGGTTCGAGAAGTTGGCCTTCTAAAAGAGCTCTGGGTTTGGGATCTCAACTTCTTGCCCTGAGCCTGAAACGCCGGACCTCCGCTGCTCAGCTAGGGTTTAGGGTTTAGGGTTTAAATTAGGGTTTAGGGAGCTTTTAGTATGGGATCATTAAGGGACGGGGTTCTGAAAGGAGGGGGGGTACTAGGCCACCAGTGAGTTTTAGGGGGTTTAGGGAGCACCAGGGAGACTACGCGATTATTGGGTTCTACCCCCCTTACGGATCCCATAATTTGAAGGAGCCCTGAAGCATAAACCCTAAACCCTAAACCCTAAACCCATAAAAGCCCGAAGCTGAAGCTGCCGGCAGAGCCAATCCGAGGAGCATTTCGTGTCCGATCCGTGCCTAGGGCACCACCTGAGCCCGGAGGGCATCCCGGAGACTCATCGCAACAGCCTACCGGTTCGGGTTTAGGGTTTAGGGTTTAGGGTTATCATGATATCGTTGGCAAGGGTAGGAAATCAAAGGAACAGGCACATGTACACAGAAATAAGTAGGTAGATCATCAGAATGTCAGTACATGCGCACACACACGTAGTTTGTGCTTGTGTTTCGAGTTCTTGGGGTAGCAAAAGCGAGTAGAGTGCCAGTTTGTGGACGCCCCAAGATGAAGTACATAAATGGTCGCTGCCAGGAAGAAGATGTGATGATGACGGTGATGAAGTTGAGGAGGAGATCGTAGTTTCAATAGTCAATCTTAAAAGCAGCTGTGTAGAGCATATGGTTCTGAGTTAATTACAGAACTCGGTCGATTTAAGGAGATCTGCAAGATGTAGAAAAATCCACGCCATACTAAGCCTGAAACCCCTTAGGTTTGGCTCAGGATTTGGGCGGTTTGGGGCTTCCCTTGTTTCGGCCCTGTGAGGGCTTCATGAACTGATGGCTGTACTCCGTCCCAGAAGGCACTGAGGTACCCTAAACCCCTATTAGCCCTAACCGGGTTCAGGGTTTTACAGTCGGGACCCTGAACCCTAAACCCTAAACCCTAAACCCTATTAGCCCTAACCGGGTTCAGGGTTTTACAGTCGGGTTGACGGTTCAGGGTTCTGCGTTTCTGTGGGGCCTGGGGGACTTCAGCACCAGGTCGTTAACCTTAGGGTTTAGGGTTTAGGGTTTAGGGTTTAGGGCTAGGTAAGCCCTTAGCCCTTGTGTTTGTTTTAGTGTTCCTGAAACCGATTCACGCCAATTCGTAGTGACCCTGTAATGTAGTCTCCAAGTGGTTGCTTCGAGACTGTTCGACAGACCGCATGCAAAAACTTTAAACCCTAAGCCCCTAAACTCTAAACTCTAAACCCTGAACCCCTAAACCCATTTAGGGTGTAAGACCGTTTCTAGCTTTTACCTTTATGCTCAGCGGTACAACTAGCGGGTCTCGAGAGTCCTCCGAATACCCGAGAAAGCCCTGCAAAAGCAAGGCCTGCCGGTGTGCCAGAAAGACCAACATCCCTTCTACGGAACGTCCCTTCAACCTTACAAAAGCGGTTTCCGTAGTAAAATATGGCCTAAATAGCTACCTATACTATTTTATAGCAAAATATCACCAAAACTCTATTCTAATTATTAAGGCCCCTATACTACGCATGCTCAAGTTATGTGGCTACATCAAGGGGGCGACAAAAGGCCCCGTGCAGACTTTTTGGAATACCGCAAGACCTCAGTACAGTGAAAGGCCCGGAACGACAAAACCTACCTCAACCCTGAATCCTACTATAGGGGCCTAAATAGTGACCCATACTATTTTTGGAGGTTCCGTCTTATAATGAAAATATATTCTACCCCCAAAACCCTATTCTAATTATTAAGGCCCCCACATTACTGCAGACCCTACTGACTGTGTAATCCTACCCAAAGGCATATCAGACCCCTACCTTGAACGCCAATTCACTTGACGGGCATTGGTCTCCAGACCATGATTTACGATGCGTTCCTCGAATGCTGTGACTTTCTGGGAATAACCAGACTTCATGAAGAGGGTCCTAAACCCTAAACCCTAAACCCTAAAGGCTAGGCCCTAAGCCCTAATCCCGGTCAGGGCCCTGAAACGAACAACCAACAGGTCTAAGCTATGAGGCCCTCAAAATGGAACCCCGAATCTTTTTGAACGCCCCTTGAACGAAAGAAACTCTGGGCTAGTAACGGCCCCGAGCCGTAATCCCTTCAAGGGCCCCGAAAGACCGAAAGGGAAACTGGGCTCTCTGGCGATTCTGATCAGGGACCTCAAACCTAGTCGCTGCAACGCGGGCTCGTCCTTAGAAAAAACTAGACCATATTGGGCTCTTTGGCGAGTACCCTAAACCCTGAGCCCTAAACCCCAAACCCGTGATCAGGGTCCCGCGTCTGGCGAAGGCGTTCCAAGGCGTCCATGTACAGCTGCAGTGGCGATGGCGCAAAAGAAGCTTCTGCTCTGGGGTTTAGGGCTTAGGGTTTAGGGGTTTAGAGGTAAAGGGGATTAGGGGAGTAGGGGTTTAGGGGTTTAAGGTTTAAGGGTTTCGGGTTTAAAGTTTCACTCAAGGGCTCCATGCACGTCATGGTTCTATAAGGTCTCTGTAAGGGTTGGGAGCCGGAGTCTGGGTCATAAGACAAGATGGTTACTCTGAGGTTTCGGGCAGAAGGTGCAATATCCCGCTAGATAGGTGCTTTATTGCGGGGTTGAGGGGTTTAGGGTTTGGGTGGGTGCAGGGTTTGGTTCTTCCGGTTCAGGCTACGACTCAGAAGATCGGGCTACATTTGGGTGGTTGTCAAAATTATGGTCCCTTTTTGGGTCCTTATTATAATACGGCACCTAATATTTAGGGTACCCCAAAAGGGACCATAATTTTGACAACTACCCGTTTGTTACGGTGTGTGTTGTCAATGATGCGGAAGTCTCCGACATGTGTTTTGGAGTACTACGCACAGGAAGGCTGTCTCACTACATGTTGTATAACTATATATATATATATACACATGCATATCCACATACATAAGTAGATATAGATATACATCTTTTATACATGTTCCTATATGTATTATCTACATATGTCTACATATGTACGTGTGTATGCGTGTGTCTGATCATGAGTATGTATATATATATATATATGTATGAATCTATCTAAAGCCGGATGGATCGTTTGTTTCAAAAGGGAGTGTCCAAAGCACAGGCGGTCGGTTTAGGGTTTAGGGTTTAGGGTTTTGGATGCTGCAGTAGTAGTAGAACGCCCCGTCAAGGTCCACTGAGGAACTGAGGACGTGCGGGGCCTCATGTGTGTATGTACATATGTACATGTGTGTGTATACATGCCTACATATACATAGGTATAAACATCTGTATCTTTATATGTTTAGCCCTCTCTCTATATATCAACATATATATATATATGTATATAGTATAGCCTATATATATATACATATATTTATGTATATCGACCTACTCTGTATATAGAGACACAAATATATACATGGACATGCATATATGCACATAATGTGTGTGCACGCACAGGTAAGTAGATAGATGCATAGATAGCGAGAGAGAGACAGAGAGATAAAAGCAACAAGCTTGTACAAGCACAAATATTGACGTACATACATAGAGAGAGAGAGGGAGAACGGATACAAATGTAGGTATATGTATGTACATGTTATTATTCTAACATGGGTATGTAGGGTCAGTCAATGCAGAAATCAATGTACATACATGTATAAAGACATACATGCATACATACTTATATAGACTTTTACATACATGTGCATACATGTTTGCCATGCTAGGCGCCGAATGGCAGTATCCATCAGGTACAAAGCGCACCAAGGGCAACCCTGAAATATTTATATATATATATATAGACACATACATATATATATATATATGTGTGTTTGTGTTCGTGTATATGTATGTATGCATGTATGCGTGCATGTAGGGTTGTAACCTATATAAAAAGATTCTCATGAGTAGTCAAGTGTACACATATGTCTCTCTCTCTCTCTATATATATATGTTTGTTTATCTACATCTTAGTCAAGATCGGTTTCTATATCTTCATCTATATCTATCCGTACATATATATATATATATATGTACATACCTATTAGATATATTGATAAATAGGTAGGTAGGTAGGTAGGTAGGTAGGTAGGTAGGGAGGGAGGGAGGGAGGGAGGGAGGGAGGAAGGGAGGGAGATAGATCGATAGTTCGATAGATCGATAGAACGACAGATCGATACATACATACGTAGACAGATAGATTGAGAGATAGATAGACGGATCGATCTAATATGTTTGTATATGCATATATATATATATATATACATACATAAATGTTTGGGTTGTGCTACAGAAGCGCCGTTGCAGCAGGCAGTCCCCTGGCGCGGTATGCGGCACTCTGCCCTTTGATGCTGCTGGCCACCTGGGCCCAATAGACAGCGTGAGCGAAGGGTTTACGAAGGGTTGCGATTAAGTGGAATAGTTCGGGTTTTACGGAAAGTTTGGTGTAGTGAAACAGTTCGGGCCAGAACTAGGATAGAAATGCCTACATCATGAGCCCTTGACACTCCAACATGCCCAAGCCTTCTGGGGCTCTCACATCTAGATGCTTCGAGCTGGGGCTCTCAAGGCTGAGAGGGTTTCCGGATAAACTATACAGTTATTGGGTGCAGTATTGGGGTTTGGGGTTGAGGGTGTACTGGAAGCAGTCACTGTTTGCCAACACGTTTTCGATAGATTCCTGATAGTGAGTCGTTTCAGGGGTATGACTCCTGCACGGGCTCCACTATGCCATGTTCACCTATGGCTGAGATTGATAGTGCTCTTGATTACTTGGTGGTTTCCCAGTGCACCCGATATCACACCCCAAGTCCAGAAAGAGCTCTGCATAGACATGCTCTCCAGTTGTTTCTAGAGCTCAAGCAAACTACCTATACTATTTTTCGAATTCCTTACTCTAACTAAAGGATCACATGCCCAAAAACCCTATTCTAATTGTTAAGGCCCCTATGCCCTACATAAACCCTAACCCCTAAACCCAATTCTAATCATTAAGGCCGCTATATTAAACCCTTATGATACCCTTTGTAGTAGCCCCTTTAAAGGAGCCCTTAAATGAACCCTATTCAAATTACTAAGGCCCTATATTAATGTTAGTCCGAAGAGGTCCTGCCGCTTGGCAGGCAGGCGAAGCCTCTCTGCCAAAGCGAGACATGAACGACTCTCCGTTCTTAGAGACTCCAATATCCCTTAATTAAGGGATATACCTCAAATTATAGTAGGATCCCTAATATGATTTGAAGTATATTCCTTAATTAAGGCATATGGGAGTCTTGGGGGAGACATGAACGACTCTCCGTTTCTTGCGCGTCTTAGACATGCTCAAA